TATTTATTTATTTATGTGTGTGTGTGTGGCCAGCTCAGCCCACCAGGGGGCAGGGCTGGCTGGCATGTGGTGCTGGGGGATCGAACCGCGGTCCCTTTGCTTTTGTTAAGCTTGTTCTAAGTAGGTGCTTTAGACCACTGAGCCATCTCACCAGCCCCTCTTAACAGATTTTTTGAAATCCTAAATTTTGTACTTTGGGACTCCCTTACAGTCCAGCCCATTTCTGCATTAAACAGACTTGAGAAGAATGCGGCAGTGCTAAGAAGTGCATGTCTCTTCCGAAATTTTCTTTTACCAAGTAAACAACTGACATTCTTTCAGCAGCTGATTCTAAAAACAAAAACTCAGGGTGGAAATAAAGAGACGTAGACACAACAGGATCCCAGGAGTCCCCAGATGCTACAGCCCGCGCCAAGGGAAAAGGGCTCTGGCCCTAAAGCACCCCAAGGGTGCAGGTCCTGAGGGAAACACTCTTCAGACCCAGGCACCTGACTCTGGAAACCCCCCTAACGGCTAGGAGGGCAGTGGTTCCCTCCATCTCTGAAAACAGACCAGACCGGAACGCCACTGTGTCACTGCCTTTGGGTGCCCACCTCTGCCAAGGACCATTGAGTTCTCCAAGACACACAGTGAAGCTGCCTGGGCATCTCCGGCAGCTCACCAAGTGCCCTCGATGTAGGCTGCCCCAAAATGAATGACCTCCTTGCTCGAGTACACCAGCACCTCTGCAGGAGGCCTTCTACCGACTCTACATTCAGAAAACTGGTGGAACAGGCTAGAGCTATGGTTGCCCTGAAGATCAAACTTACTCAGGAAATGTTGCTCCTTCTGATTTGCAGAAAGGTTTAAATAACTTAACCCAAGTATGACCCAAGGAAGGTGCAGCTGCTGGGCCTTCCCTGGAATTGCAGGAAATACAAATATCATGTGTATGGCACAGGGGTGTCCTGAGCAGAAGGGACCTGGAGAGCCACATGGCTCAGGTATCCAGCTCCCTCCAACCTATGCACCTTCCTCCACCCACGGAGCCACTTCCTGGAACTTCACGCACCCCGAGACAGCTCACCTGGGGCAGAGCCTGAATACAAATCCAAGGGCCCTCATTCTCACCCACATGCCCTGTGACCTTGAGAGGGGCTGCAAAACAGAGAGGTTGAACCAGAGACTGCCAAGCCATCTTCTGGTCATTCACTCCACCAGGCATGGGCCTAGGTAGTTGGACCTTGCTCTGCTGTAGGTCCAGCTCCTTAAATTTTTTTTTTTTTTTTTTTTTAGACGGAATGTCACTATGTAGTGTAGGGCTGGCATTGAGCTCATTTATATAGTTGACACTGGCCTCAAACTCACAGCAGTCGTCCTGCCTCAGCCTCCAGAATACCAGGATTACAGGCATGCACCACCATTCCTGCAGCTCCTTGGATTTCAAAACAGTTCTGAAACAAACTAAATGATATATCGCAGCCAGCTGAGAGTCTCCAAACTGGGTCACCCGGCTTCAAATGACTCAGGCTGGAGTCCTGACCAAACCTAAATGAAAATTGGATAGCCAATGATTAACAGTGAGGGTGGCAGGAGTTCCACAGGCATGATCGGAGGGAGAAGAAAGGTGGCCCAGGACATCGGCCTGCTGAGTGCTCCGGAGCCCCGAGCCCACTTCCACCCCAGCACACAGGTGTGCTTGAGATTTCTTTTCTCCTGAGGACACTCCTCCTCTTATGCCCAGCCCCACTGCAGGATGGGCCCTCTATCTGCTGCTGGGGAGTCAGGGAGGGGGCACAGGAGGGAAAGGCCTCTCAGCCCCATCTATTCCTTAGCTTCAGCCCAACTAGCTGGCCTCTACAGCTTCTGACCCTGGAAGCCTGCAGGGGGCTGATCTTCAGGCCTGTTAATCATTTATAAAACAAGGATTTCTGTGGCTCCCACGAAGATGAAGTAGAAGGAAAACAGAATTTCCTCCTGCAATGTAGGAAAGAGGCCCACCCTTCCATGCCATGGGTGACATGAACCTCAGCAACAGCGTCTTTCTGAACCCTGTGCCTCTGCTCGCCCAGCTGAATGCTTTGCAAATCTTCTCAGTTTTTGCTCATTAAAAAAAAAAAAAAATTAAGTTGGGAATCTACAAATGGATGCAACTTGTCAAACGCTTCCTCTCAAGTGTTGGATCAGCCGCCGGCAGCTTAGCAACCTCAGAGGCACCTCTCTCTCCAGTCCCCACCCCTCCACAAAGCACTGCAACTGTCCCAGGACGCTGCTTTGGACTGCCAAGTGGCAAGCACCCAAGACTAGGGATTATTATGTCTTAGCTGTCTGTACCTGGTGTCTTTTGTGAAGGTTAGGCACAGACTTCGGGGTAAACAAAGTACCAGGATGGCAACCATAGAAGACTGGGAGGGACCTTTTGGTCATATCTTTGTGCTCACTGTGTCCTGTTTTATACCAAGATAAAAGAAAGAAATGCCATTTTGATGCCAGTGAAGTAGCATTTGCCTTCTTCAATTCTTAGCACCCCAGCTTCTCAAATACTTAATTTTCTTCTCAACGCATTAGCAAAATTTTCTTACCATCCTAAGCTGGCAGTGAAAACACTGTCTTATATCTGAAGAAGTTTGTTTTTTTTTTTTTTTTTTTTTTTTTTTTTTTTTTTTTTTTTTTTTTTTTTTTAAGATAGGTTCTCGCTCTGATACCTACTCTAGCCTTGTGCTCCTGGGCTTAAGCGAGCCTCCTGTCTCAGCCTCTAAAGTCACTAGAACTACAGGGATGTACCACTGTGCCAGCCTGCAATAGTTTCTACAGGGACAAATTCCACCAAAACACATCAATAATTACTACCATCCTGTGAGCACATGTTTGGCATGAGGCTCTATACATTTGTATCTTCTCCTCTAATCTTCATGGCTAATTTTTTTTGTTGTTGTTGTTAATGTATTTAGTACAGGTTCTACAGGGTCTCGCTACACAGATCAGACTCGTAGTGATTCTCCTGTTTTTAGCCTCCCAAGCACCTGGATTACAGGACATGCCCAGCCCAGCCCAGCCCAGTCATGCCCAGCCCAGTCACAATGCCATCTTAGCACACCCCAGAGGCAGGGCCGGCACAGCATGGCATGCCAAGAATCGAACCCCCATCCCGTGTCTGCCTAAACAGAAGCTTTAATCTGCTGAGCTAGCTGGCCGGCCCTTCCTCATGGCTAATCTCTTAATCCCCAGTAAAGGTATATTATCCCCATATTACAGATGAGAAAACAGAGATAGAGAAGTGAAGTGTTTTGGCCCCATGCCAAACAGCTACAACAGATTGCCTCCTGGCTTCCCTGTGTGATGTGCTCACTCCCCAACCTTTTGGGATTCTGGCTAAGGACTCTGGGAGAATACTGAACAAGGAAGAGATGTTGGGACTGAGGGCAGCAGGCAACACTCTGGCAGAAGTCCAGGCTCCAGAAAAGAAGGGCTGTGAACGGTAATGGAGAACAGACGCGTAATTAAGCATCTGCTGTGCTGCCGCTTTCCGCATCTCCTACCTGCCAGCAACTCCGCTCTGAAGCATGTAACAGGAGACCACTTCCAGGGCCCTCTATTCTTGTGCAAAGCGGTCAGGATGATCTCCAGCCGGAGGCACCTTGTCAAACCTTTTCTGCTAGGAAAATATCTGACTCATCATCTTCCTTCTTTTCTGTTCCATTACTCAAGCTAATTCCACGTGTCATTCCTCCCTTCTGGGCTTCTCACAGCCTTAGAGTTCCCCACCCTGATCTTGTCCCCTGATTGCTGCCCTTCGATGCTGACATCACTGGTGACAACAAATGAGTAAGATATGCTGCAGAATGCTACAAACATGTTACTCTGCACAGGAGCCAGAGACTGCATTTCCCACAATGTGGCATGAAACAAGAGTCAAAACAAGACTACTTTTTAGGAAGGGCTGGATCTGTGTTAGCTGAAGGCAGCCAGCAGGACAATGCCCACCTTCTCTTCAATGATGGGGACTGGGGTGTAGGATGGAAAAGGAAACCACTCCCACTGTCTTAGAACACGTAACCCCAAACCCAAATATTAGATTAGCCATTGACAGCCTTCTCCAGATCAATAGGATGGGAATCTGAGTCCCAGGGTGGCAATACCTGAACATGAAGACTAAAAATGGAGGTAAGAATCTTTTGCCTTGCTGTCTTTCACGGCAACAATCCTCTTCCTTGTCCATTTGGCAAATATCTGGCTCAGGCCCAGAGAGCCAAGGGAAACAGGCAACTCACTTTAAGTTTGATTCTAGGAAGAGTGGGATTTTGTTTGCTTTGAGCTGGGGGACTCACTATGTTGCCCAGGCCAGACCTGAACCCCAGTAGCTGTGACCACTGGTATGTAACGCTGTGCCTAGCTACGGAGAGTGTTTGAAAAGCTGCCTGGGAGAGCTGGGCATGGTGCTACATGCCCCTAGTTCTAGCCACTCAGGAGCCAGAAGAAGGAGGATCACATAAAGAGCCCATGAGCTCAAGACCAGCCTGAGCAACACAGTGAAATTCCATCTCAAAAAATTCAAACAGGAGAGAAGGGAGGGGAAGAGAGGGAAGGGGGAGGAAGGGGAGAAGAGGGGAGGGGAAGAGAGAGGAGAGGAGGGGACAGGAAGAGAAGAGGGGGACCCAAGGAAGGGTCATGGTCTCCCTAAAAGAATTGGCACATTTTCAAAACTTCACAGTTGGAAAACCCAAAGTCAGCAGCCAGGGGCCATCTGCCATTTTGGATTCCCTAGGTTGGGTATAAATCCCAGATATAAGTCCCATACTCTGACACGGACCTGCTAGGAGAAAATACTAGATGGATCTTCCTGCTGGTTTGGCTGGTATTTGAAAATACTTTAAGCTGTTCAGGACCCGAGTGCACTGCGCTGGGACTGAGGCTCAGCAGAACACACGCAGGATTGGCAGTGGAACATGCCTCACCGCCCAGTCAGCCTCTGGCAGCTGGTGACTCTGAGGTAACACGGCCCCTGCCTCAGGTCACTCACCTCTGGAATGGGGAGAACCTCAGTTTCACAGTGAGTCCTCGCTAGGAAGTAGTTCGTTTTCTAGATGAAGGCTTTTAAGTCTATTATTACATTTCACACAGTCTCACTTAACAACATTCGCAACCCCATAGGACACGTGTCACAGTTTCCATGTTCACAGATGACGAAGCAGCACTGGAAAAGGCAGGGTTTGAGGCCACCCAGCTAGCGGGTGCACCCTTGGAGTCAAGCCCAGGTCCTCTATGCCAGGACAAGAGAGAGCTGCCCACAGAAGGAGTGGAAAGATCAACAGCCACCTGGCGAGGGACCTGGGTGTGAGCCTTTCTGGAAAGTTCTGTCCCTTCAGTCCACCGAGCTCTTTTTGGGCCCCAAAATGAGGGTGGCACCACACACCTGTTTACCTGGAAAGTTCTTGCCCAAATCCCATGAGCGCCAGGTGCAAAAGTCCCCCAGGTGAGGGCAAAGTTTCCTAACTTGAAATTGGGACACTCAGATCAAGAGCTGCAGCCTGGGAGTAAGAAAGGAAGAAGAGGCTGAAAAAAGGAAGCCAGCGGGACCAAAGCTGTTTAGGGCGTGAGAGGGCAACAGAAGGACAGAGTTCAAATGTACTCAGCGGCCAGGGAGCTGGCTTCTGCAAGCCGAAATGGGGGGGCTGGAAGGGACACGGGGGCTGAGCCCACGTCCAACGGCAGAGCCACCCACCCCTGATGTGTAAGACCTTGCGTTCATGTAATAACCGTATCAGATAAAATCAAAATTAGCAATTCTATTAAAGCCCTCTCGATTACAGTCATGCTATATTTACTCACGTACTAAGGGTAAAAGTTTGAGAACTGTTGTTTTAAAATACCTCGTAGTGCTGTTGACCCTTCCGTGGCTATGACAGCATAAAATTGCATTTACCCAAACATCACGCATCTGCCCTGTGCCCAGCCAGGTAACTTCCGGGCCTCACGGATATAGCGAAAATGCTTTGTAACTGCAAAAGGCACACAGTGAGAGCATAATTAACTGAAGGCATTTCCACCGGGAGCTTATCCGCAATGTCATCAATTAATGATCGTCTCTGAATGATGGTGATTAAGACGCAGAAGAAACTTAACATGTTTAAGAGTGAAAGAAGCCAATCTGAAAAAGCTACACAAGGTAGGGCTGCAATTATACGGCATGCTGGAAAAGGAAAAAACGTTTCCAAATCACACCTCTTTAAGATGCAATCTGACTCTCCCACTTTCCGCCCTCAGCAGGTGGCCCAGGGCGAGGCCCGCGCTGTAGAGCGCAGGAAGCAGGGCTGGGCCAGGTGTGCTCGGAGATGAAGCGCGATGGGGGCGCTAGTGCAGCCAAGAGGTTTCTACTCGATCGTGGGGTCACCGCAGAGGCAAACTCCCTAGGCTTCCCGTGGTCCAAGGGCGAGCCTCTCCGGGCAGCGGGTCCCCCTCAGGGCAAACACGCCAACGAGCCTCTGTAACACCTGTTTACACTCTGTAATGGGGGGTGAAGCTCGGCCCCTTCCGCGCCCGCCGAGGCAGGGAGCCCCGCGACAGTGCCAGACTTGATCTTCCCCACCCACGGGCGCAGACCCCTATCACTTACCTGCGTCGTCTTGTGCTCCTGGGGTCTGCGCTCCCGCGGGAGGGCGTCCCGTGTCCCGCAACCCTAGGCGGCTCTCGGGGCACTGATCGCGCGGAGTCCAGAGGGAGGCGCGCGCCCGGTGTGTGGTCGCCAAGGTCGCCGACTTCCCGAAAGGCGGCGCTCAGGTGGCACAGTGTTGAACAAAGCCCGCAGCGCTGCACAGGGCGGCGCAGGCTCCGCGCTCCGGGCACGGTGGCGGGCGCAGGGCGGGTTCCCTCCGCACGCTATCTGGTCGGCCGCCGGCCTTGCCCCGGCTGCCAGGCGAGCGCGGGGCGCTCACAGAGCCGACTGGTGGCGGGAGGCTCACGCCGCGGGGCGCAGCGAGGAGTGCGCGGAGCCGAGGCGGTCTGCCGGCCGGCGTGGGCTCGACTCCGGCCAGGGGGCGCTGCGCACCCGTGGGAGGGGCACCCCGGGGCAGCGGCCACGTGGGGCACCTGCGGCCCCACAGCTGCAGGAGTCGGCTCAGCTGGAGGCTCTCTCGCGAGCAGGCTAGGTGCGCACCGAGCGCCGCGGGCGACCGCGCTGTCCTCGCCCCGAGCGTTATACAGCGGTGCGCTGATCAAACCAAGCAAATTAGCCAAGTACTTCTGCGCTGCTTTCCCCGCCCGCGTCTGAGCCGCGTAGCGGTGAGCACAGCGAATCGCTGCCCACTCCGCAGACTTTATAGCTGCGGTCCAAATGACTATGTTGACTTTGGCATTGTTTCTGTTTGTCAGGGCAATTGCCTGTCTCGTTACTGGAGCCGGGAGATAATACGCAGATCTTTTGGCCAGCGTCCTCATTTAAGTCTAGAGGGTGGCTGGTATTTTAAAAAATCAAATGCCACAAAAGAGAACAGCATAATGCCTGGCACTGTGGCTGGTAAGCTCACACTGAATGTTGGCCATGATTGCATAATCTGAAACTTCTTATACTTCATCAAAAAGTGTTCTTTGGATGTGTGCTCTCATTGCAAAAAAAGAGGAACAGGAAGAGGAGGAGGAGGAAGAAGAGAAGAAGAGGAAGAAGAGAAAGAAGAGGAGGAAGAGGAAGAAGAAGAGGAAGAAGGGAAGAAGAGGAAGAAGAGAAAGAAGAGGAGGAAGAAGAGAAAGAAGAGGAGGAAGAGGAAGAAGAAGAGGAAGAAGAGGAGGAGGAGGAAGAAGGAGAAGGAGGAGGAGAAGAATGGAGCAGTTTGGAAGCCCTCTGGTATCCCATTGTGGTTGAGAATCACTTAACATCATAGCACATGCTCTTCCAGGATCAATCTACCCATATAAGACTTTATATATTTTAGTTTGTAACATTTATGTTGTGCCTTGGCCAGGTTTTCCCCTGCTCTTTTGAACATGTTTTTAGCCACTAATGTTCGACATTTACTTAACCTCTCTACTATCAAACACTAAATTTTCAATTTTCCTATTACAATTAGGTATCTATGCCTTTGCCCACATACTTCCTTAAAATAAACTGTGAGGTAAATTTCTCTACAGGGTATATATACCTAATGTAAGTTTTTAAGTGCATTATCAAAGTACTTTTCAGGAAGTTCGCCTGTTTCCTCTTGTCAATGCCCTTGCCAGTTACTCCTGGAAATGTCAGTTTAGTAGGCAAATGGCATTTTTCTTAATTTACATCCTTCTTTTTAAAAGTTAAAAAACACTGCATTCTGCCTGGCAAGTGCAAGGTCCTGAGTTCAATTCCTGGTACCATAATAAAATGAAATAAAAACGCTGCATTTTAGACTGTAGTTCTTGGATGGTTGCCAATCCTCCAGACCCTGCACGCCACCCTGGAGATAAGAAAACTTGTCTTGGGGTCTAAATACCAGGGAATGTGGTCTCTGCTTCCAGATCAGATGATTTCAGAAAAATTTAATGCAAAACACATGTGGAAGTTTAAATACTTTAGGGGACACATTACAGAAAGAAAACAAGCGAACATTTTTAGTAAGATTAATCCATAGCCCAAGACATTATCTAAACATGCAATGAATATAAAATAGACACATTTTATACTGTCTTTGAAATCCTATTGTACATTTATAGCACATTGCAATGTGGACTAGCCACAGCTCCAAGCACACAGAAGGGCAGACCCCCAATCTTAAAGTGGAAAGCCCTCGTGTGACAGCTGCCTCCTCCACCCTCATGCTGGCTGTTCAGCATAGCCCTATAGTTTTGCCTAGGAAGGTCTACCCTGGAGAAGCCATATTTCAACCCTAACATTTTTAATTTGTTTTTAATTGGCCTGTCTGTATTCTCTGTTAAAGTAGTAAAGAGCAAACAGCACAAGTCCTGCTAGAGATACCATTTGCTGCAAACTTCTCATGAAAGCATAACCAAAGCATAATGTGGCCTAGCCGCATATACTTACATGTGTGAGGAGGCAGGAAGGCCCAAGCTAGGGATGGAGGCCTTTTATATAGATCGATGGACAGCTATGTGTCATTAATGACAACCTTTCCTTTGTGAAGATTTATGGGAAATGAGAAAAAGTTCCTAGGGAGAGAGGGCCATCGTTTCAAAGGGCTTAGGCGCTCCTTGTCTTCTTAGGACTTTGCTTACTCTTTTCTCAGTCCTTTATGCCTGGTGACATATACGTAGGAAATACCCACTGAAATTGTGAACTGTTTCACAAATTACCCTGTACGTGTGCCTCCTTTGGAAACATAAGGTGCAGAGATTACTTTAGGTGAGGACTTCAGCACTGAGCAACACACACCAGGAAGCACCTAGTGTAATGGCAGGACCATGGCTTTGGAGGTGAAGCCCTCTGGGATGCCCCTGCAGCTCTCTCACCTGTTAGCTCTGTGACACAGAAAAGGTGCTGAACTGTGATTGTTGTTTCCTGACCTACAGAGGATGTTGCTAGGCAGGTACAGTTTCCTAACCCCGGGGGCCCCCACCTCAAAATTTTGCACCCAGTCCCCTTAAATGATAAAAGTGATACTAGACAAATGTGGAAACTTGTTTCAGTTTACAGGCAAAAGCTTTGAGAGGAAGAAGAAATGGGGAAGGGACTTCAGTTTAAGAAGAGGAGCAGAGCCAGGGAGATGGCTCAGTAGAATAAGCACTTGCCTGGCAAGCACAAGGGCCTGAATTCAATTCCTGGTTCCACACACACAAAAAAGAGGAGCTGTGTCCCTTCACCTTGGAGAGATCAGACTGGCCCCAAAGCAAGAGACCAACTTTTGTGGGGTTTCTGGGGAGGCCAGGTTCTGCTAATTTTCCACTGGATCGTGGATATGGAATCTTCGGACACTTCATGTTTTAGGGTATTTCTTCCTTGTGTAGTAGGCTGTGGATCAGTAGCTGTGCTTCCCCTTGGAGGCATCACCGTGCCCGCTGCTGTTACAGCATGGCTTCTCCCCGCAGCGAGAGTAGGGGGCTACGGGAAGAGCACATTCACACCTTGTTGGCAAGGAAGCATGAGCGCAGAGACATCTTAACCTTCAGTGGGAAGCAGGTCGTACAGCCCGGAGCAGAACCCCAGCTCCTGCCCTCGTGAAGATCCTTGTCCTATTTCAGACGTGCTTTGTGAAAGGAACAAAGGAGAATGCCTTACAGATCTGCAGTTGTGTATCTCTCTAGGATGGCAGAGCAGCCACTGACCAAAGCCTTGTTTTGAAGGAAAGAACAGGAAACAGTGTCTATTAAGTGGCAAAGCATCCATCCCAGGGGGGTACAGAGGGCCGATCCCTAGGTGCGCCCTGGCAGCAAATAAAGCCAGAGCAAGCGCTATGGAACAGCAATAAAGGGGAAAGAACAAAGTTGTGTTTTTGTTTTTCCAATTCTTTTGGTACAGGGTCTCAGTATCCAGCTCCATAGTGATCCTCCTGTTTTCAGCCTCCCTGGTGCTTGGATTACAGGCATGAGCCACCATGCCTGGACTTGGTGGCTGGCTCAGCACACCCGTGGACAGGGCCAGCACAGCATGCGGTTTTGGGGATCGAACCTGGGTCCCTGTGTTTGCCTAAGCAGGCACTTAGTCCACTGAGCTCTCTCACCGGCCAAAGAGAACAAAATTTTAAGTGTGGACACAAAAAGTAGAAATGCTGCCATCTCATACCAGGGGTTTGGAATAGGTGGTTTGTCCCAAAGGTGAAAAGTATGTGACCCAACTCCTCGATATAAGAATTGTGCATACAATTACACTGGATGTGCTTTTGGGTAAAAGTGATGCTTGTGGCTGACTCAAGTAAACATGCAACTTGTGGGAAGGCAAAAACTCGGGTAAATTCATTCATTTCACACAGCCCCTCAGTGCCCTACAGCTATCTGCTTAGCTGGGCATGGCGATGCCTGCCTGTGGTCCTAGCTATCTGGGAAGCTGGGGCAGGCAGACTGTGAATGCAGGCCAGCCTTGGCAATTTAGTGAGACGTATCTTAAGCCACACAAACGTGGGCACAACGGTGCCTAAGGGTCTGGGTTCAATCCACAGTACTGAAAACAAACTTTTCTGCTGTTGAGTACCAGGATCATGAGTTTTCGTTTTCACATGTTGTTCTTACACTGAATTTTGACAGCAATCTGCACACCTCGGAGGCACACAGCAGGCCCCAGTCCTGGCCTACAAGTGTCTGTTGTTTCTTCAGAGCCTCTCATCAGTTTCCACAATGAGGTTTTAAAAACGGCATTGTCTAAGGGTTGAAAAGAAGCGCAGGTGAATGGTGAGGCTTGGCAGCCAAAGCCCTAGATGGAACCAGCTTTAGAAGGTAGTCGAAGAGCTACTGCTTCACTAGGGGAGTTGACTACAGTACCTACACAGGGCGCCGAACAACGTTCAGATGCAAGACACCACCTATATAGGTGTTACGGTTTGTGTCCAGATGTCCTTCCCACCCCCAACGCCTCATGAAGTCATGGAGGTGGCTTTTGCAGAGGTAGCTAGATCTAGAGTTTGTGAATGACTTCTAGTGCAATGCTGGGATTAAGGGTGCTGGGATTAAGGATGCTGGGATTAAGGCTTGGTGACTGCTAGATCACCCCACTAACTGGACTGCACCACTCGGATGCCAGCAATCTGGATACAAGGGACAAAGGCTTGTTTTCCCCTTTTGCTCTTGCTTTTCCTGTCTTCTGCCACCATGAACAGTTGTCCCTGTGTCACATCACCCTGCCTTGGAGCCAGCTGATATGGACTCAAACCTCTACAAACTGTGAATTAAGTAACCCTTTCTTCTTTTAATTTTGGGTTGGGCATTTTGTCTCAGTGACAAGAGAAGAGTAAGGCAGTAGGTACGCCTTCCGCAGCTCGGGGGGGGGGGGTGAGCAGTAAGCTGAGCGCTAACCACGTGCCCTAGCAAGCACAAGCACTCCACCACTGTCTTCTGCACGTGGGGAACCACAGGCTGCCTTCCCATTCTGCCTATCTGGAAAAACGAAAATCATCCCTGAGAATTCCCCTCACATGCATGGTAAGAACTGCTTGGGCACAGTCGGGCTACGGAATCCCCTACATGCCTGGGTGGCCTCTTCTGCTAATTCATGCAGCTGTGCTCTACCAAGCCCACTGCAAACACTAATCATGCCTGACTGCTAGTAATCAGCACTAATCGCACGTAGGATAAACCTTATTGGCTGTGATACTGCCACTGTGCAAAGCAAAGGCTGACTGCTGTTGGTAGGCAGCCTCTTGGTCCTCTGGGAAGTTGGCAGTGTAGGGTACTGGTGGTAAGGATCCTCGTGGGTCTGTTTCTGGAACATTCACTAGGCAAGAGAGTCCCATTTCAGAATATTAATTGCCTTTGTTAATAATTTTGGGGGCGGGGGAGATGGCTCAGTGGAATATGCACTTCCCTGGCAAGCGCAAGGGCCTGAGTTCAATCCCCGGTTCCACCAAAAAAAAAAAAAAAAAAGAAAAAAATAATTTTGAGCTTGTTAAAAGATGGCAACTTCAGGCCCCTGAGTTTGGCTTAATCCATACAACAGAAATCTCTTCTCTGGTGAACGAGGTATGATTTACCCCAGTACTTACCAGGCCTCTGTCAGGGCAACAGTTCAGCTGGCACAAGCACCGGCTTGGCAAGCACAAGTACCTGTGTTCAGTTCGGGTACCAAACACACACACAAAATCAACTTCCAGGCCTCTGTCCTGAAATGCACTTTGGTTATATAGTCTGCGCTCTAACGTGCTCATCAGTGAGCGTGGCCACACTAGGTATTTACGAAAACCTAAGGATGGCAGCTTGTGAACACAGCCACGCACGGAATAGTAAACGCGAAATCCGCATGCACCATGGCAGGGTCATAGCTGAAGTTCAGTAAGTACCTGCTGAACAACACATATGACTGACAAAATAGGACGCACCTGAAACTGATGCAGAATAAAGAAACGGAAGACTAGTGTGTCAAATGAATCCAGGAGACTCTCAACCCACACCTCTTGCCGTCAGACTAGTACAGTAAGTGATATTTATCCCTTCTGGGAAACAATATAAATAGCTGAATCACCACATATTATAAAATTCCATTAAATTGTTTTATATTCAAATTTCCAGGGACAAATGATACAACACTGGAATTTGAAATGGACTATATCTCATGATTTTTTTTTATGTTACTTGACTAGTTTCCCTACTTTTCCTTAATAAGGAGGCCAATTCTGTGATTCCATAGCTGTCATCTGCATTTCCATCCCAGTAGGAATGGAGCAGACCACATGAACAAACTCTCTAGGGCTCCAGTGTATGCCAGGACAGGAAACCTGCAAAACAGCAGCAGTAAGTACAAAGAGAAAAACAGGTGACAAGTGAAAGGACTTTATTGGACAAAGCAGCATAATTTTTTATCTAAATAGAAACCACATGAGTTTTTGAACAATCTTTTACACACAGAAAAATTGCCTAACAGAATAGGTGACATACATTACCAGTAAAAGCAAAACAACAACAAAATCATACCAGTCGTTTAAGATCTGCTCCACGTTGGTGACAACACCCTACATTGTCACAGTCTGATTTAAATCATGGAAGATTTAAGCCTCAAATGGAAGCTATGGGGCTGGCAGGAAAGTTTCCAGCTGGCCCATAATTCTGCACATGTGAGTTTAGGAGAACGGAAGATTATGTGATTCAAGACAAATACACAGCCCTGCATTTATGCTGCAGCGCCCAGGTGCTCTGCCACTGAGCGACGTCCCTGTGCCCCCCCACTGCCAGCCCCCTAACCTTTTTGAGACAGGATATCATTAAGTTGTCGAGGCTGGGCTCAAACATGGGACCCTCCTGTCCCATCCTTCCCAGGAGCTGGGATTACAGGCATGCACCATCATGCCCAAGGAGAAAACGAATTCTTTCTACAGTAAAAATCTAATTGGCTACAAATTTGGAAGGCCATGGATGACAAGAACAGAAAGACAAAGTCCTTTCCCAGGAACTGGCCCGGATGTCGAGGACACTCTGGGCCCAAGTCAAAAGAATAAAATAAAAAATAACTCCATCCACTCAAGAGTGGAGAAAGCAGCTGAAGACTCAGCATGCACAGGAGCAGAGCAACGGTGAAGGAGGGAAAACGCAAGGAGCATTTATTACATGGACAATGATGCCAAGGAGCACAGCGACTATCTATTAGAAAATAAACTACAGAAAAAATAATACAACTTGTATATCCACCAACTTATCCAGTAGTAACATGGAACTGTATTTTCTTCAATACTTTCAAGTAATAAAGCATCCCACAGCTAGGGAGTAACTCAGTGGTAGAGCACTTGCCTGGCATGTCCAATGCCATAAAATTCCTCCATGGCAAAAGTAACAAGCTACACAGACAGGGGAAAGCCTCTCTTCCTTTCAGACATTCCCATGAATTTAGTATAGATCTTTTCTGTCAAATTTATTTATCTGGTGGGAAAAATTTATGGAGGAAAAAGCCCCAAACTTTATAAAAAGCAAGCAAGGAAAAATGAAGGCATGAAAAGATCATTAAAGAAAAAGGAGATGAAGATTTCAAAAAGCTAAAACAAAAACTAAACAAGATGTATTACTTTTTCTCTTGTCTACCCTGTGTTGTTTCCTTCCTCTGCAGGGTTTAATTCCAAAAGGCACTGTTCCTGAAAGAGAAAATAAACCATCGTTATGCCATGTAGAAAGACTGACCCCTGTGGATCTTAATTTCTAGTGTAAATACAAGCACACAAAATGACCACTTTTAACTGAAATTATATTCACGTCAACCATGTAAGTGCTTATGTTAATTAAAGCTATTTACACCACCCTTTACAAATATAAAATACAGTTGTTGATACTCTCCTTCAGGTAAGACTATTTGACACTCCCTTGCATGTTAAAGTAGCTGTCCTGTCTATAAGGTCTGCCTTCTCTTTCAGGGCACTGTGAAGGTGACTTGGTGCAACACTGCTCTGTACACAAGACACGGCCTAAGCACAGCGTACTGCACTGTATTAAACGTGGACAAGATATATACCGATTCTCACAGTAGAGGGAAAGGCAATTTGTGCTTTAAATCTAGGATTTTTAGAGCTACTAAGCTCTGTCCCCAAGCTATCTAGCAACAACAGAAAACAGAGGTTTTATCTTACATTATGTGTAAGCACTTTATATTCTCGTGGCAAAGCCTATTACACAGATAAAACAACAAAGACATACACACTTTAACCAACTTGACTAAAAATATGATGGATGATTCCAGAAGTCATGTCACTGCATGTTAATCTATGAAATTAAAAGCAGCATTAAATTTAAGATATCAAACTCAAGCACACAAGACAGCAGTCAGCACTAAAACTGCGTATTAGAACGGTAGAATGTTGTACTTGCAACTCAGAAATTAGGACTTACTAGAAATAGCATTTATAAGAGAAATCATGAGAAAACCCTTGATCCTGCATGAATGACACTGTGCACAGAGTTGAACAATGCTTCTTAAAAGCAAACTTCATAGATTACATAGAAAATGCTTGGGGGCCGGGGAGGTGGCTCAGTGAAATAAGTGCTTCCCCTGGCAAGCATAAGGGCCTGAGTTCAATCCCCAGTTCCACCAAAAAAAAGAAAAAAAAAAAATGCTTTATCTCCACTGGTTCCTATTTCAGATTTGCCTTGCCAGTAGGAGTACAATAGAGAACAACCTGGCTTCTTGAATGATCTCCCAACTATCTCATACAAACTGCACTTGGGCCAACAAAACCACACACCTGAAATAATCAAAGCTTCTCTGCTTTTGGCTCAAAGTATATGAAACTCAAATTATAAGATAACTTCCATCTTTATTGGACACCCTAATTGCATACTGTTCACAGGTAACTTCTGAGAGCCATCTCAGGACAATGAATAGCAGGGCTTTAAAAGAGGGTAACCGTGGGCTTAGAATCGCCAAATCCATTCTCTGGACACGGAGTTACCACATCCTGAAGAAGGGGTAAGGGTTCATTTTGCAATGAAATCTGCTATCAGTGCAGCATTTTCTATTCAATGCCCTTCAGGTTCTCTTCACAAAAAATGTAAAACATGTTTGCAGTGGTAAGGAAAGACACTGGCAACCTCAATAACCTGGGTTCAGGCTCACTAGGAGACCACAAGCCAACTACCAGGTTGAAGCCTGAAGGTGGCATTCACGTAGCAGCCAAACTCAGATCGCGACAGCACAGAATAAAGCACCTTCCAGCAGGCCTCGCTCCCCCAGCTCCGCCCTGACAGCAGGCCTCGCTCCCCCAGCTCTGCCCTGACAGCAGGCCTCACTGCCCAGCTCTGCCCTGACAGCAGGCCTCACTGCCCAGCTCTGCCCTGACAGCAGGCCTGGAGACGCTGCACCAGCACGGGGCAAAAATGCCAAACATGACTTACTTAACTTTTTAGCAGTTTTTTCATTTCAATAAATTTGTTTTGGTTGGTTGGATTGTTCAAGAGGAAGAACAGAATCTGCTCATGTTTTTTAACCTATGAGTGAAAAAAACAGTACAATTTAGTTTCTGAAAATATTAGGAGTGTAAGTCTACTTAAAGGAAAATTTACTCACTTGTCCCTGTAACTCCGTGCAGCAGCAATTCATCCTGTGTGTCTTTTCTAAAAGCAAATGCAAAACAATCAAGTAAGAAACATATCCAACATATGTCTCTTCAGCCAAAAGAAATCAAACCTGAACAAGTATGTATGCATCTGTCCCCTTGCCTGGGTTCCAACTACAAAGAACACGATCCACTCACTTGGACTTTACCTGTCTCCTACAGTGATCTGAATTTTTACAAATTAGCACTCACAGTCCAAGGGATTTTCCATCATATATGGGACTTCTTTTTGGTGAGAATGGGTCTGCCAAATACCTATCTTATGAAATTCCAGAGAAACCCAATCTCAGAACTATCAGCTCTCCTCCTATCAGAATCAGAAGTGAAGTGGGGGCAGGGGGCAGGCAGGACGCCTGACACCTCTGAGGCTCACCACAAGGCTGCTGTCTGACCAGGGACCTCAAACAGAAGACACTGCCTCAACACGGCCCCCTCAGATGGTGACAGGCCTTAGAGCCCTGCCACGGATGTAGAGGAAGGGAAGCGGGGGAGGACGGCCACGCGGAGAGGACAGATCTGGTTAATTAAAAGGACCGTCTTTGCTATCTGTGAATCCACATCTGCCATCAACCATTTGGAAAAACACCTTTGTGCAGCGCGTTCTGAGTGCTGGCTGTGGTGCTCCTTGCCAGATCGCAGGTCACCAGCTGACTGGTCACACGGACAGCAGCATGCTCGCAACACTTCTCAACGGACACTGTGTGAACGTTCTTACTAATTTTTTTCACAGAAAGCATTACATTTTGGCTCAACATGAAATTTTTTAGTAGCTCTATTATTAACTGAGAAGAGCTTCCATTCAATTCCACCAGCCCTAGAAAAAAATTGAAGACTTAGGTTAGTTTTTGAATCTCTTAAAAACAGACATATTTAGACAAATTACCTAAGGTTAATAAGCATAAGGCTTACTGACTAGCTGGATTTTGATATGCTTCGATGTGCTCCTGCTGTTACACCGAAAATCAAATTTATACATTGAACGTTTATTGATGACCTACAAGACTTCAAGCACTAAGCCAGGCATAGACAACAAACAGATAAAGGGCCTGCGCCCAGTGATCTGACGGATAAGCAGGCAATAGTCTTCTGACTCTGAGTCAAACACAAAGCAGACTATGAGAATTAGTGAGATACCAGCTCAGAGGGCCACGGAGCAGGAGCTCAGGAGCACCCATGGAAATGCTCTGCAAGCACTGCTATTTATTCAAATTCCAGCTGGGGCTAGAATGCAGCAAATGTAATAACAAAAAAAAAAAAAAAAAAAAAAAGCCACAAACGGTATCATGCAAATGCTGTTGGCCCTTAAAGAAACCTAGGGCTAAGGAGGAGCAGGACCGGGATGAAAGGTCAGACCCACCCATGATACCACCCTGCTCCTGCCAGGCTACTGCACCTTTGCAGCACAATGAAAAAGACACTCTAAACCTTGGTGCTCTGAAAATATGCTGTAAAAGAAACACAGATTTTAGTACTTACAGTTTTTTTTGTGAGTTAAAAAATAAAGGATAGGAAATGTCTTTGAAAACTGTTTGACATTAGAAATCTGAGGAGGTACTAGAAATACACATTTGATTCAGACTCCGAGCTATGAAACAAAACGAAGAAAATCCCACCAGACATACAAATTGGAAAGTGACTCAACTGTCTACCTTCAAATGAACATTTGATAACTTGGAAAGGGAGTTCCAGGTGGCTCACAGCAATTGGCTGCACTCTGGAAAGAGGCAGCGTTTCAATGTTCCCGTAGTCAGCGTAGAGCACTTTCACATCAGAATCTGATGCCTCCAGAACGACCGCCCGGTACCAGAAATCATCACCTGAAAACAGAACAGAATCTTAGCTAAGAAGTTACTGTTGAACCCAGACCTTAAGACGTTTACTCAAAAGCTACATTTATGTCACTTCAATTCATGCCAAAAATTCTAGTTAAGAGTCTAGATTTACCTCTGTTTTTTACTAAAAAGACAGTTAACAGGACTTCAAAACAAAACAAAAACAAAGACAACTACCAAGAGAAAAGCCCACGTAATATTGGAAAGCTGGCAAACACTTGCATGAACGGAAATGATCTCCCACAACCAAAGCTGGCAGCAGGGACGCCGAGCAGCACCACAGCTTCCATCCCGAGCCCCAGCCCCCAAGGCTCAGCACTTGGTGTTCCTCATTCTAAAGCAGGGGGAAAGATGGAACTGGAAGAATTGGGCTGAGGAAGCAGAGTTACTTTCCAAGACATTAGAAGCTTCCCAAGGTATTAGAGTAGACTTTAGCTCATAAATATATTTACATATAACACCTACTTTTGAAGTTGCTAAAGAGCACGGTGAGCTGCATGTGCAGCGTATTTCAGTGCAGCCTAACACATGCCTTCCCTTGCAGGCAGCTATCCATTTTCTAGGCAGACTGGACTAGGGAACATGAGGCCGAGCAGAGGCACAAGGTTCATCAAGAACACAGTCAAGCAAGCTGAGCATGGCAGGCAGGAGACAACCCTCCTGGGTGAGAGCACTTGAGCAGGTCCACACTGCTAGTGCCCAGCGAGCCAGAGCCGGCAGCACCACAGCACCCTGCACAGGTCACGGGGGTCAAGCCCTGCCGCACATGAAGATACTTCTAACTGCTTGGTGCCCCATCTTATACTGGTGAGCAACAAAGGATCACCAGGTATCTGAGAAAAGCCTCTAATGTGCCAGAGGAGACGAAAACCAATAGGACCTGGGGAAACAGTGATAAATTAGAAGACAGAAAATAACAGTGAGTACCTTGGAGAATATTACATTCTTGAAATAAGAACAAGATAGTATTAGAACACATATACATGTATCCCCCTGGGGGAAAAACCTACTATAAGAAATACAGTATTGGAAATGAAAATTTCTGAGAAAGGATGAAGATAGAACTGAAAAATCACCTTGATAAAGAAAATTTTTAAACAGTGAAATTTAGTAGAATGGTAAAAGTTAGACACTAGAAGACTTAGAGGCACCAAAACAGAAAAGAAGTGAAATTCTGGAAAATTACAGACTTCATGATCCTCTTATGTAGTATCAGCACAGTGATGAGACAGTCCCACACTAAGTTATACTGTAAACTTCAAACACGGAATGAAGACACTAAAGGCCTCAGAAAAGACAAATGTCTGTCCAAAATTTGGAGAATCTGGAACAACGTCTACCTCCTGACCAGAACATCAATAGCTAAAACACAACAAAGACAGTACCTTCAAAATTTTAAGGGAATCCGGGCGTGGTGACACATGCCTGTAATCCCAGTGCTGGAAAGGCTGAAAACAGGAGGATCACTACGAGTTTGAGCTGGATAGTGTCACACACACACACACACACACACACACACACACACACACATACACATGCGGAAAATGACTTCCAACCTTAGCTTTTTTTTTTTTTTTTTTTTTGGTGGTACCAGGGATCAAATTCAGGACCTTGTGCTTGCCAGGCAAACACTTACTTCACTGAGCTATCTCCCTGGCCCCCAACCTAAGCTTCTATATCTATGCAAACTATCAATGACTATTAGGGTAAAATAAAGGGTTTTTAAAACAGAGATAATAATGGAAAACTTATCTTCACGTGAACCTTTTCTCAGTTTCTAGAGAACAGAATAAATACTAGAGGAAAGAAAAAAGGAAAATGAAAGAAGAGATGAGGAAAGGAGAAATCTGGCTAACTAGGTTGAGAATGAGAAAGTCAGCCAATAGAGGCGGACAGTGCTGAAACCACCTCCAGCTTAAAGGTGGAGGATGGGAGTCCGTGTCTAGAGAGCAAAGGCCTGGATAAGACCAGGGCAGAAGGCTCAAGATGCTTCCTGTATGATTACGCAAAAAGTTCTCGGAGGACATTCATGTTAATGCAGAGAACTGGAGATAGTGAAATAATACAGAACACTAACAACAAAGTGTCAAAAAGAAGTTATTCACAGCATTCTACCTGGCTCAGCTCTGAGTGGTGCTTACACAGTCCTCTTAAAATGCTGAACAGTGCATACCTAACTGAAAACCACTACACCTACTGAGAAGAAAATGAGAGGGAGTACAGATCCAACTGTCACAGATAAGAACACTAAAACTAGGGAGTGACATAAGCCAGATGGAGGGGGAGGTGCGCAACATGGACAGCTGCCCCACACACGCCAAAAGAACAAGTTGGCAGCTGCTCATTGACAAAACGCCTATGAGGGAGCGCTGGAATCTGGAATGGTGGTTTCAAGACCCGAGAAGCCCAAGACTGGAGGCTCTGCTTCAGAAAAGCAGGCCCAAACCTCTGTTGGACTCCTGTAACCCAGCTGGCTATGGGTTGGAAGCAGTGCTGTGCATGTCCCCCATCCCAGTGCCACCAACTCTAGTCCTGCTTGGCTGCCATCTTGCCACTAGCTTCATCTGCCCAGGTGTCGTGGTGGAGCGCCTTGCAAACTGCACTCCACTGTTAACACTAAGCCTGGACCTGGCTACAACCCCAGTTTACCTCAGTCTCAGAAACAAACCAGAATACTCACCACAAGCATTACTTGCATTAGTGAAGGAAATGCATTAACATAAAATATTAAACAGGAGAATGGTTAAAGTATGGCCTAACCAGTGGCTATGAACCCCAAGGAAGTTTTGTTCCTTCTTTCAACCCTTCCTTCTTCCTTTCTGTTCTGGGCACTGAACCCAAGGGCTTTGCACTAAGCTATAACCTTAGCCCTTTTTAATTTACTAATTTTGACGCAGGTTCTTGCTAAGTCAATAAACTGCTCAAGACTTGGATAATCCTCCCTCAGCTTTCCAGAGCGCAGGGACTGCAGGCACGTGCCATCACACCTGGCTAATGTCTCAGTCCTTACAGGCTTTGGTTTTTGTTCAAGATATTCACGTACACAGCTCTATAAAAATGTTAGGACTGTAAATCATTTAATGTTACGGATCCACCACAAAATATGGTTATCTGGAGCTCGTTATCTGTAAGTACTAGTAGATTTGTATAAATCTAGTGATATCCTTGTCCTCAAACAATGCAAACAGAAAAGCTCAATGACCCTAAAATATGATTTAAACCCACAACTTCACTTTTCTACCTAATCAAATGAAATATGCATCTAAAATAAAAATCTAAATAATGTCATGTAGAAGAGAATGGATAAAGTATCTCCCCTTGACTGTCTTTCCCAAAAGAAGCTTACTTGTGTATTTGGCACAGCAGGCCTCTCCAATTCTTGGTCTGTAAGAGAGTTGACTTTTCTGAGCACTGCAATATTCTAACAATTCAGCTGTCAATATAGACAATTTTTCTTGATTTTCTAAAATAAATAGATACAACTTTTTGTAAATAAATTCCAATACTGCTATTAACACTATACAACATATTGTCAAGTCTAATCATTCAAAACCTTTTCTAGGGGCCAGGGAGATGGCTCAGTAGAATAAGCGTTTGCCTGGCAAGCACAAGAGCCTGAGTTCAATCCCCAGTTCAAAAAAAAAAAAAAAAAAAAAAAAAAAAAAAAAAAAAACACCTTTCTATATTGACAATATACATTGTATTTTAAAAACAAATATATGCACTATTTGGCTACTTTTTGCTGAAAGGGTGGAAAACTTTGAGAGGGCATGAAGGAATCTTCTGACAGACCAACTTCTTAGTTACTTGGTTATGCTGGGGTGTGCATTCTATGAAAACTTAATAAGCTGTACTTTTGTGATTGTCTGGCATACTTCTCAGTGAGTTGTACCTAGTAAAATTATCCTAATATTGCTTTCACATCAATAGACCTTAAGTCATCATATAATTCTGAACACTGCTGCTTTTTTACTATACAGATTAAATATGAGTTCTGGTAATACTAGAGGTAAATTTAAAAGCAGTTATTGGTTATCATCTAAATTCTACATCTGGCAATTTCAAACAAAGGTTCATTTTTTTTTAGCTTTGAAGAACTGCAAATTACTTTAAATAGGTATCACCAACTTGTACCTAATTTATGTTAAGATACAAAGAAAAAAAGAATTTTTTTCTATATTTAAGAGATTCTTTGACTATACACTTCCAGGAAAGAAAAAGGTAAATTAAAAATCAACTTTATGCATTACTTTCTTTTTACAACATAAAACACTTGTAAATTTTGAAGAAACAGTAAAGCTATGATTATAAACTGGTTAACAGGTCTTTCAATAGCTCTGAAATAGTTCAAAGTAGTTTAAACTCTCTTAAATGGTGAGGGTTAGCATAGTAAATGCAATTCAATACAGACAATCCATGTGTTGAATTAGGAATTACATGGTAATTAAGGACATTGGTTTGCCATAAACAGTTGCAGATTATTCACACCAGGCTACTGAGCAGATGCTGGATGCAGGATATTCCCTTCAGGTTCTCACTGGATTGTTTTAACGACATGTGCTTGCAGGGCTGTGACCATGCAGTGCTATGTCCTCCAAAGTCATCACCTCATCTCTGTCACTGTCAGCACTTTCAGTACCCAGTTTGAAAGAGGACCACAGGCGTTCTGATGTTTGTTCCTTACCTGGCACGTCATTTGGGATAGCATAAAACAAGTTAGGGCTTATGATTTCTAATATGCTTGCCCGCACAGTTTTATTAACTGGCAGTTCTATCGTCTTCCACTGCTCTGCTGAAGAGAAGGCTGAAGACATATGAAACACAATTCTTGCATTAAAGACATAACATCTATTCTTCTTCCCAAGCAATATATTTATGCACAATGTGTTCCTCAAATATCAACATTTCCAAATTGTCAAAATGAAAGCTCTGTATTTCACAAAACAATATATTCAATTTGAGGATTATGTGGACGATAAAAAAGTTCAGTCTATGAGAATCCTTAAACTATTACACTCCTAGGACTGGGGAGATAGCTCAGTAGAATAAGCGCTTGCCTGGAAAGCACAAGGGCCCGAGTTCAATTCCCAGTTCCACAACAAAACAAACAGACAAAAAAAAAAAAAAACTATTATACTTCTACAGGGCATTTCTGGGATATATTTAGTGTAATTCTTCAGAAATACTGAAAGTTTGGGGCTAGAGAGATGGCTCAGTGGTCTAAAGCACCTACTTAGAACAAGCTTGGCAAGGCATCAGGGACCGCGGTTCAATCCCCCAGCACCACATGCCAGCCAGCCCCGCCCCCTGGTGGGCTGAGCTGGCCACACACACACACACACACACACACACACCTCTCTCCCCCCCCCCCCCCTCTCTCTCTCTCTAATAAATAAAAATAAAAATAAAAAAAAATTTAAAAAAAAAAAAGAAATACTGAAAGTTTAAGGGATATATATCTGTACAATGCATGTTATTTGCTAAATAAAAAACTAGTACAATGCTGGTTCAAAGAAATCTTCAATAAATATTGGATTCAATATACATTATTAATCTATTCCTACAAAGCAAATATCTATAGGAAAATGGTTTAATTTAGGATAGAAAAATTCTCATACAGTATGAAGTAAAGGCTAACACAAATTCAAGAAGTGATTTAAAAGTGTTACCTTGAAGCCCCTGGGTGTCAATTTCATGACCGTGTTTATTAACAGGTCTGTTATTGGGCAAATCCTTAGATGGTGAACCAGCTTTTAAAACCAGATTTTCACTAATCAGAACATCACTAATTATTCTGGGGTATGAGGTGGAAAGGTCAGTGAGTTCAACGCCCACTCCCTTTTCAGTGATTTCAACCACTCTGGCTTGGAGTTTTATTTCTGTAACACACATGTGAAATCTTGCTATGGCTTCCTTAGTCCAATATTTGTTTCTAGGCTGTATGTCTGTAAGATAAGAACAGGAACAAAAACAGCATTGGCGTAAGCTGACCTTTTGCTTCTACGGTATCCAGGACTGGGTCTTGGGCACGTCTGTCCTTCAGTTCACCACTTCTGAATCATTTTTAACCATCCTCTGCAATGTATCTGTATCCTCCACGGCTGAATTACAGATAACATACACTCCAATATGTTCATAGTTTAGAAAGCTCCAGATCTTTACTCTCCCCAGTAACATATAGTTACCTGGCACTTTTCCAATAGGTCACAATGAGTACATTTTTTTCCAGATACAAAAGCAGAGAAGGTTTAAATAACTTGCCTGAACATCTCCCTGGCAGTAGGCAGGACAGCTGGCTCGAGAGTCAGTCTCCATTGCACTGCCGCTGTGCTTTTCTTTTCTAGCCTGTCTTCTTCCCTTAAATCACAAATAACTCTTGCTATCACTAGCATTTACTTAACATCATTTCCATGGTAGGGTCACTGTACCAAGTACTAAGTAGAAATCTGAGTGCCAGACCCTCTTCTAATCATTAATTTAATCCTCACAACTCCTGACAGACTAGGTACCATACATAATACGGGCCATCACTTAACTAACCCTTATTCCTAGCCATTTTGCAGTTGCTAACAATGTAATGAGGGGCTGAAGAGATAGCTCAGTAGAATAAGTAATTGCCTGGCAAGCACAAGGGCCTGGGTTCAATACCTGGTTCTGGAAGGAAAAAAAAAAAAAAACAATGTAATGAACTCCACTGTCACTGAACTTTGTGTGATTCTCAGATTGCTTTGGGATAAAGTACTAGAAGTAAAACTGCTAATTTAGAAGGTATGACCATTTGAGGCTTTCAAAGAATTCTGCAAAATGCTTTCAATACATCTATCTTTTATTCCCATCGATAGAGAAAAGCAGCTGCTTCCCTTCTCTGACATGAATGCTGGGTATTATTCAAATGTTAAAATTATATATATTAATGCTTAAATTTATATGTGCTAAATAGTAAAAAAAAAGCAGTTGAGAAAACTTTTATTCTGTACCATACCTACTAACCAGCACTGTATCCCTTGAAATGGAAATTTTAAAAATTTTGATGATATCATTCGGAGTTCATCTGTAGTAACTTCTTCAACATTTCCGTAATCCACAAAATGTACTTTTACATTTCCATTTGGTAGGATTTCCTTGACTAAAGCACGATACCAGTTACCATCACCTAGATTTGACACAAAGATTGTTAGATGGGACATTCCCCTCGTATTAACATTTGAAAGTTTTATCTTGGGGTGACCTTTAATGTAGATAATAAATTTTGTTACTTTCTCTTTACATTCTCAATCAAAAATGCCTAGGTTAAGATTTTTTAAAATCTCACTTTTTGAATATCTTCACAGTATCTTGATTCACAAACCTAATTTGTTCCATGACTTTGGAAAAATAGCAACAATTGTGTTAGGGTGGGAAAGATGGCTGTGGTAGTGTTTGTCACCCATGCAGAGTTTGCAAACAAAAACAAATTCTCACCAAATGCTTTGGTTGTGAATCAAACTATTTGCAAAGAAAAGTTTTTGTGAGCTGAGCTACCACTGTAATCTGAGGGTCAAGGATGTAGCTCAGAGGCAGAGTGCTCGCCTCGTATGTGAAAAAGTCTGTTTGATCCTCAGCCAGAAACAAAACAAAGCAAAACCACCACAAAAAAATCTTACACTCAACTTAACCACTAATAGTTTCGACTGATTTGTTATTTGGCAAAATAGTATGAAAATTAAATTGTAGGAAAAACTCATTCAATGACACTCACAAACTGAGCAAATACTTTTCACAATTAACACATACAGGGTGATCAGGAAAAAAAAAAAAAAGACCCTGAAGTGAACAGCTCTTCTATTACCTAATTTGTTTACAGAAATAGAATTTAGAATTCTGGAAAGAAATCATCAACATAAAGTTAATAAAGTTTAGATGAGAATGTACTATTTGGACGTTCAAAAAGAAAATGAATGACATCTTATTTACTCTTGGCTATGAAAACTACATGCTTAAATATTGGGTGGAAATAAGGGTAGAATGTCAAGAAACAAAAAGGTTTTCATGTCACAATGACATCAACTGCAACTTACCTGCAAAAAAAGCACAACAAGGTTGCCCTATTTCTGCCTTAAAGCCATTATGTAGCTTCTGTTGACAATGCTCTGCTAATGATTTATTCAAATCACTGAGCTTCTCCAAGGCTGAAAATACAATACATATACAAGATTTAATACTCAGAATAAAGGGCTGGCCAAATAGCTCAGCGGATTAAAGTGCCTGCAAGGAGGCGCAGGGGCCCGGGTTTTGATCCCCAGACTGGCTGTATTGGCCCCACCCCCGGGGCACTCTGAGATGGCAATTGAGACTGGACATTGTGGCGTGCACCTATAATCCCAGCTCTTGGAAGGCTGTAAACAGGTGGATCACTATGAGTCTGATGTAGTAGTGAGACCCTGAATACCCTGTAGACCCTTCCCTAAAATAAAATAAAAATTCAAAATACTAGATTTTCCTTAGAGTCAAAAAACATTTGGATTACAAAAATCTCATATACATACCAAAACACATATGAAATACAGAAAAATGCTTTTCTTGACCTAAAGCTTTTATTTAGCTAATACTCTCAACAAACCCATAATCAATGATTTTAGTTGCCACGTATATATAATGTGGCATTACCATTATTATACCAGAATGCAAGCTTTGCAGACAGGCAAGAAACACCGCATGAACACTCCAGTTACATAAAAGCTATCCTGAGAGATAAACATAATTACTACAATGGCTAGCACAGCCAACTGATGCCAGTGATATCAGAATGCCTGTCAGCTCTGCTTGCTGGAGGTTTCACAGAGGAATCTGTAGTGTGATACATCCGATAGAAAAGAGGGTATTCCAAATGGAAGAAGTGGCTCTGAAACACATTGCGTAATTACAGAATTAGGCAGCCAAAATTACTTAGTGGGCAACAGCTGGGCAAACACAGAAGCAGAAAGGCAAGCTCCTGCAGAGGAACAGGGAGCAGGGCTTGGAAAGACACAGGCCACGCAGAGCTTTCAGATGCCAGTTAAAGGGATTTGAGTCAACATGCACATAAAACACTAGCCAATATCTCTTAAGTACTAACAGTGGCTCAAGTCATAGAAGTGAGAATTATGATGAGTTAAAGATTTTGTCCTTCAGATTAGCCCAAATAAAAAAGCACGAAGGCATGCTTTTGGAAGCGGTGCAGAGCAACGCACCCATGCCCTCTTGCTGGGGGTCTGCTTGGTCGGCCTCCGGAAGGATGCTGGCACAAGCACATTCTCTCACCTACAAATCACAATTTAGGAACTCATCCCCAGGTTATAAAGTCAGAGTAAAATCCAAGTATAAGGACTGTTGAGTAATGAAAATTCGGGAGTTCTCCACGGGACTGGAAAAGGAGGCCAAGAGGTGATAATGAATGTGGATCACGAAGCTAACCTCCTAGTGGAGGAAATTCATCGCTTGGGTTTAAAAAATGCTGATGGAAAGTTCAGCATGAAGTTTGGGATCCTTCTTCGAGATGACAAGTGTGCCAACCTCTTTGAAGCACTGGAAGGAACACTCAAAGCAACAAAATGAAGGAAGATTGTCACATACTCAGGAGAGCTACTTTTACAAGGTGTTCATGACAATGTTGATATTATACTGCTGCAAGATTAAGGGGGTTTACACATATTTACGTACTGCTGTTTTGGTTTTCTGATAAGCTGGAATGTTGTCAAAGAACAAACATGATTTAATGTATTTTTATAAAACTTTGCAAACAGAAGGGGACTCGTGTTTTAGAAGTCTTCCCTTTTTTACATCTCAAAAGGAACTGTATGTATTGCACTGTAAAATAAACAAAACCTATTGTTTTCCTCAGGAATCCGGTTGGGATATGTATGCAATGAAGCGTTTTTGGAGAGGTTAGGGGAATATTTGTTTCACAAATAATTCCTAGACATTTCTATAGATATTTGACATTCTGTCAAAGGGAAAAGCAAATGATGACCAAGTCCCACAGGAAACATTCAAATGTTATGTAATAAAAACATAACTGTCTTAAGAAAAAAAAGAAAATTTGGAAACACTAATCTTTTATTCAAACCCTGGTCAATAAATCCACACAATGGAACAGCAGATGCTATGGCTCATATCTGGGTGCCCCAAAACCTCATGCACCCATAGTTGGGGCTTTGGGGGGTGACTTGGTCATAGGCACCCGATAGTGGATTAATCATGGATTGGCTTAGCATAGTTGCTAAGGGTGTAGATGGACTTCCTGAAGAGAGAAGCCCCAGCCTTGGACCACCCAACAGACTTGTAGCCTACATGGACTAGAAAGCCAAAGGAGAAAGGCATGCTGCTGCCTGCACCCCCTGCCGCTCTGCCTTGGAGCCAGACAAATATGGACTGAAATGTCTACACACTGTGAGCCAAAGTGAGCCCTCCCTCCTCTCGACATGCAGTGTCTGGTATTGCGTCTCAGTGACGAGAGTGCAACTAAGACACCAACCAGGTAAGCACAAAAATCGAATGGAGCCTAAACAGCAGTGTGGTGCTCAACTCTGATCCCAGAACAGGAAAAGGGCTTTTTTTTTTTTCTTTCCATTTTGTGTTTGGTACAAGGTCACACTATGCAAGTTGGACTTATAGTGATCTTCCTTTTTTTTTTCCTTTTCAAAGTTTTATTGATAAACATATAGCAATGAGACAGTTTCAAATCAAATCGAAAGTACAGTTTCAACAAATAATACAGTGATCTTCCTTTTTTCAGCCTCCCCAGCACTGGGATTACAGATGTGTGCCGCCACACCTGAACTCTGTCACCAGCTCAGTGCGCCCCGGGGACAGGGCTAGCATGGCACGCAGGACTGGGGATCGAACCCTGGTCCCTGTGCTTGCCAAAGTGGGCACTTAGTCTGCTGAGCTATCTCGCCGGCCCTAGAAAAAGGACTTTTTTGCATGGGCAGAACTGGGGTTTGAACTCAGGCCCTTGCACTTGCCAGGCAAGCGCTTATTCTACCGAGCCATCTCCCCAGCCCAGAAAAAGGACTTTAAAGGAAAATCTAGCAAAATTAAAGTCTGGAGTCTGCTAACAGTATACTACTATTACTACTGATAGTAAATGTATTATGAATATGTAACATGTTGACTGCAGAGGAACTCTCCACACTGTTTTGGCAACTCCTCTGTAAGTCTAAAATTATTCTAAATTTTTAAAGAAACTTTTCTTTAAAAAAGTGGAGAGAACACTATGTTAACTAATAATCCAAATAAAGTGAGAAGTATAAAAGTTATAGTAATCATTCATGGACACATAAAAAAGGAATTCATATATTCACACAAACATATATACAGAGTTTTCTGAAAAGATACTAGAACATTGAGAATAGGAACTGGGATATTTTCTTTCTTTTTTTTGTGGTACCAGGCATTCAACTCAGGCCAGGCAAGCGCCTCTTCTACTGAGCTATCTCCCTGGCCCTGGAAATTTTTTACTACCTGCTCTTTCATAACTTTTGAATTTAATACTGTATGCTTATAAAACCATCAATGAAAATTTTTAAAAAATGAATTTTATCCTACATGAAATAATGGCCTGCCCATTAGGTGACTTTAAATGAAGAATAACAAAGGTCGCAACTGGACAGCCATGCTGAACTCGGTTATTTTATGTTCTCATTTGACAGAAGGAAAAAGCTTTAGAAAAATGAGAATCAGTGATACTCATCAAAATAACTCAAATAAAGAAGAATACAAATGTTTATGAGGTATATAGCAACACTGACAACTGTCATAATTACTCAGAAACTGGCACGCAATATGGCTAATGAGATAACTCAGCGCACTAAGCGCCTGCTTAGGCAAGCACAGGGACTGGAGAGCTACCCCTGATATCCCATGCTGTGCCAGCCCCACCCCTGGGCCCGCTGAGCCAGCCACTGAGACCGGGCCTAGTGGCTCATGCCTGTAATCCCAGCACTGGGGAGGCTCAAAGGAGGATCACTATGAGTTTGAGTTGAGACCCTATGCCAAATACATAAATAAAAAAAATTTAAAAAGAAATATATTGGGGAGTGAAGGCTGGCGGCGAGTGAGTGAGATGACCTGGGGCCACGGGATCCTGAACAGACCCAGAGCGCAGGTCCGGCAAGGGAGTGAGAGGACCGGGGCCGGGGGATCCTGAACAGACCCAGACCCAGACCCAGAGCGCAGGCCCGGTGAGTGAGTGAGATGACCCGGGCCGCGGGATCCTGAACAGACCCAGAGCACAGGCCCCGCGAGTGAGACAACCCGGGGCCGTGGATTCTCATTCAACCCAGGCTGCAGGCCCAGCACGGAACCCTTCAGCAGAACTCCCTGCAAAGAAGCTAGAGACAAGACCCACCCAGCTGATTCAGGAGCAGAACATCTTCCCAGAGAGACACAAAGGGTTCAACTCTAACGCCTGCAGCAGAAAGAAGTGGAGCACAGCAGCCAGATCCAAGCAACACCCATCTGGAGGAATCGGAACTTC